TTTTAATTATTTGCAGTATTATAATATTAAGACGGCTATGAAAACAACATGGCGTTCGCGATTTGACAGCATTAAGATAAGCGACAAATTGTTAAACTGGACATACTCGCAACTAGAAGGCTTTGGAAAACAATGATAAAATCAAATAATATCAAACATTAGTGTAAATACTTGTTTATAAGCTTTATTGTGTCATTAATTTAAAGAAAAATGTTCTCCCATGAAGAAAAGTGTGATATGTTAGAATGCTATTTAGTGTGCAGAAAATCCTCCTTGAGAGCAAGAGAATAAATACTACAGTGAATTATATCCCGCTCGCATTCAACCGTATGAACGATATTTTCTGAGACTTTATCGAAAATTTAGGGGCAACGAAAATGTTTTTGCTAAAACAAGGGCAAAAAAAGAATTCATAATAAGCGAGGCCACGGAAATTGCAGTTATTGGATATTTTGAAGCTTATCGTGAGAATTCAATAGCAGATATTCTCAAGGACTCTAATTTCAGTTATGGTACTGTTCAAAGGATTTTAAAAAAATACAAATTTATTCCGTATAAGTACCGACCAGTTCAAACGCTTTTGGCAGGGGATCCAGAGAGAAGACTTGTTTTTTGCCATTGGTATCTTAGCTTCTGTCGCCAAAATGTAAATAACTTTCGTTACCTTTTATGGACAGATGAATCAAATTTTTCAAATTCTGGAATGTTTAATAGAAAAAAACACCATTATTGGTCAAGAGAAAATCTTTTGTTAGTACATCCAAGAGGCCCACAAGTCCGTTTCAGTTTCAACGTTTGGTGCGGTATAATTCGTTCAAAAATTGTTGGCCCGTTCTTTTATGAGGGAACCCTAACTGGTGAAAGATATGTGGAATTTATGTCAGAAATTCTGACTAATTTCTTAGACGAATTGGATCTTATAAGTAGACATCATCTGCATTTTCAGCAAGATGGCGCACCTGCCCACAACTCCAGAGGTACTTATCATTTTCTAAGTACTACTTTTAATGATCAGTGGATAGGAACAAATGGCCCAATACAGTGGCCTCCCAGATCACCAGATCTAAACCCACTTGATTACTTCTTGTGGGGTTACTTAAAGAACCAAATTTACAAGCGAAGGTACGATAACCTTGACGCGTTAAAGACTGCAGTTAGGGAAAAGATAACCCAGATAGATGGTAGGACCATACTTAAGACAGTTCGAGCAGTTGAAAAACGTGCCCAAAAATGTATTGAAGAACAAGGTGGTGTTTTCGAGCATCTTCTTTAAAAAAAATTGTTATTGTATTTTGTAAGATTATAAGTTGATGTTGAAAATAAAGTTTGTCGATACAATTTAATTGTTTCAGATTGGAGGCCATAACTTCAACAATTTGTAACCTAGGAGAAAAGTTATTGTAAGCTTTTTTGTTTAAAATTTGATGCTTTAACAGAAAAAAATATAATATACAGGGGTTTCCATTTAAAAAAATGTTATTTTACTGAAAAAAATCAAAATAACGACTCTCAATTGTTTTTTTTTATTTCTCATTTTTACCAGCGTTAAAAATGCTACTAGTTTGCTAATTCAAACAACTTTGTATTTTCACTAATAACAAAGTTACTAATGGTGGACACTTAATTTGGATAACCCTGTAGTCTGCCTATAGTAGCTAGGAGCCTCACAGCGACACAGAACGTGCGCCGAGGTCTCTTCTTCTACCCCGCAGCGCTCACACAAGGGATCCTCAGCCACCCCCATCACGTGGAGGTGACGCCTTAACGTGTTATGGTCAGACAACAGTCCCACCAGCAAGCTTAGGTTGGCTCTATCCAAAGATAAGCAGAAACGTCCATCCTTGGCGCTGGACCCAGCATCTCTTTGCTTGAGCATCCCTAAAGCTGGTTCAGGAGCAACAAGCTTGCGGGTTGATTCTTTCTTCGCCAGAGCGTCTACCGTATCTTTACCCTTTATCACAGCGTGCCCCGGTACACACACTAACGATACCGGACGCATCGCTGCTAGACAATCCAGAGTCTCCCTGCTTTGCAATACCAGGCTCGAAATAATCTTACAGACACTTAGTGCCTTCATTGCAGCTTGGCTGATATTCTTCTCCTAGCCCCCCCCCCCCTCCAAAATGTGGGATACACAAGCCAGAATCGCAAAGATTTCCATCTCGTAAATAGTGGGTAGAGATAGCCTAGTTCTAGGCCCGGAGACTCCAGCGCCAGAGCCCTCTTCGGTGACTGAACCGTCCGTGTACTAATCCTGCTCACTCACTCCGGAGACCTTCCGGCTACCGGCATCCCACTCCGCCATCATTCGATACTCCACATTAAACTTACGGCTGAAGCGATATTCAGGGGTAATCAGATCACCCCTGTTCAGAAGGACAGGATCGTCCCTTTGTAGTTCGACTAAGATGGCAGTGTGACCTTTGACAGAATACAAGAAGGCCCAGCTACCCTGACTCCATAGTCGATGTGCGACTACTCTCGCTAGATTCAACGGTGGGAGATCCAGCAGAGCTTCCATTGTTCTCAATGACGTTGTTCTTTTAATACTAATATACGCCAACCGCTGAATTTTATTGAGTTTGGCCTTAGTTGTCTCATGCAATGCCACCAAACCAGGGAGCCGTACAAGAGAGATAGGCGTACTATCGTCGTGTACCACTTTGGGTTTAAGCCCACACCTTACACCGACAATACGTCTGCAAACCCACATTGAATTGCGAGTCTTGTTAACCTTGTATTCAACATGCTCTCTCCAGTTCAGCTTGCACTCCAAGATAATTCATAGATATTTTACTGATTGGGATAGAACTAATCTAGTCCCAAAGAAGGTCGACAAGACAAGCCCGTCAAGCCTTCTCCTAGTGAATAGGATCAGCTCGGCCTTTCCAGTGTTGACAAAAAGTATCGACCTCCCTACAATACGATTCCACAGTGCGCAGAGCGCCCTGCATAATTTCAGAGACTGTTATACAAAAAGTCATCAGCCTAACGAGGAACCACAATAGGGGTGACAGAACTCCGCCCTGCGGGTAGTCTCGACCTACGCTAATGCTGTGACTTACGTCATTCAGCCTAGCTGTTGCTATCCAATCCTCCAGAGTGGATAGGACCCAATCTCCTAGGATTGATCTAACCCCGTGCCTAACCAAGGCATGTCTGATAGAGTCGGTTGTAGTGCAATTAAATGCACCTTCAATGTCCAAAAAGGGCACAAGTGCCACTTCTCGCTGATCTAGAGCCTTCTCCAGCCTGCCGATCAGATTGTGTAAAGCCAGATTAGTCGATTTCCCAGCTTAGTATGCAAACTGACTGGAATGAATGACACACCTTTCCAACAGGTCATCCCTCAAAAATCTGTCAACTATCCTTTCGAATGTCTTAAGCACAAAATATGAAAATCCTTCGAGCCTGTATATCTAGCTCTGCCTGGTTTAGGAACAAATACCACTTTAGCCTGCCGCCGGGTCCTAGATGTGAAGCCCATGGCCACACGTGCTCGAAACACCTTCAACAGGTGAGGAACAACCAAATTCCACCCATGCTGAAACATGGCCGGAAATACCCCGTCCAGATCCGAGCTTTTGTATGGAGCACACGAATCGATCGCCCATACCATTCTTTCGAAGGTGACAATCTCAATAGCCGTGCGCCAGTCCTTCCCTGATGACCTGCGCAACTGCATGCACTCTATGATTGATTGCGCTACTGTGGAATCGGGAAAGTACGTATCCATCAGAAGCCTCAGAGTACAGAGATCCCAATCTTGCTTTAGCATCTTTGCATAGCATTGTGTGTATGTTAGCTATAGCAGGAATGTCATTAATGGACTGACAGAAGTTCATCCAGGATTCTCTTCTAATCTCCTTTTTGTATTCCTACAACGCCTTCTTGTAGTCTTCCCATAGGGGAGAACTTCCCCTGTCCCTAAGTCTACCAAGGAGAATGTGCACAGCTCGCTTCCTATCTTCTAACTGCTTGGACCAGAAGATTGCATTGCCCTTAGCTTGAACTTTGCGTAACGCGCAGTTTTCTTCATACCGTCAAGTCCCTGCTCAGAGACTCTACGGCTGCTTCTGTATCAGAGCCCCTACAAAGACTGTATGGGACTCCTTTCAAGATCTGCCCTAAAGTACGCCCAATTAGTATGCCTAAGATTTCGAGCATATTTATCTGAAATCTCTCCATAAGTCTTAAGCAGTATATACCAGTGATCCGATAGAGAGGGTGCTAGACAATCTTTCCTGACCCTAATCTGCTGAGAGAACAAGTCTGACCGGTTTGGGTTCCTCCTTTCCTAGCCTCCACTAGCCTTCCAGCGCTGGGAAAGTTCCAGGATTGTGCCTCCCGAGCCTCCTTGTGAGGATGCTGGAACTTAGGAACCAGGTCATCACGCGGAGGTAAACAGGGATTTCGACAAAGCTCATCGTTATGAGTCTTGCACCTTCCCACGGCCGAAGATCTCCCATGTGGGCCTCCAACCATGCCCTAGAGGACTCGTCCTCACAGACAAAGATGGCTGCCCCTCGAGAGAGGTAACCAGTCAATGTACCTACCTACGAAGGGTCCTCTCATCTGGGAGTCCATGTATCAGTACACTGACCGCCTCCTGCACCTTTGATTCCCAGGACAACTATCGGACACGCTTGGGATGCACGCGTATTGCTAATATGCGCATGCGCCGCCGTACGGGTATACGGGTATAGTCAACCTATTTGATGCAATTTTTTTTCTTTCAAACAGTTCATTTAAGTACAAGTCGATTTCAGGAACCGGAATTCAAACCACCGGAATCGAAACTATAAGGACCCACCTCTATTCCAAATCACGACTAGACGGGGTGAAGACGTTATAGAAACGTTTCATGCTAGTTTTAGGATGCACTTTCTACTTTAGAAATGGAGCCATTATTTTCTGAATCACCCTGTAGATCCTGGAACAATGTCGTCACCATCTCCTTGACAACCGTTTCAACAGCAAGTGACCTCTTAGCAACCGTTCCTACGTTAGCCCGTGTCAAAATTCCTATTAATGACGTTCCGCTTTCGTAGCCTATATTTTTACATTTTTTACTTTTAAAGTTGTTCGAACTCCTCAAAAATGGAGGACGATGAGTTCAGCGACACTTACGAGGAGGGAGATGAGGAAAAAGCTGAAGAGTTGGATCCGGAAAATCCGCAACATTATTTTCCTATTATGGAAAAGAATTTTAACAAGGTAGGCGACTAGAAGAAAACCATCGGTCCGGATATTGTGAGCGGCTACCACATTATACTCGTATGACCATAACGCATGGCAATGGATAGAAGTCATGACGTATAATAAAGTTGGTGTAACCATATCACGACGGAAAGGTTTTGGGGCATTCCACGTGAAACGGACACCGAGAAAACGTGAGGTTAAAAATAGTTCTTCATATCGGGCCTGTTTGTACATGTATATCTAGTACGTATGAAAGAGAAAACACACACAATAATTTTTTCGTGGGACGTTTATTTGCTAAGGCGGCTCCGACGCAGTGAGTTTCAAGCCATTTACAAGGGTTCAGCTGCTTCAAAACTGCACTCCATTTTTCAATATTTTTGAATGAAATTCATACAGTATGCTGAGAAGATAATTGCCCAGGGTGCTATAGGAGCACTTTTTAAAATTTTGTTTTTGCACAAGTTTTATGATGGGTTGAAGTGCGCACCTTTTCTGTTCAACTTCGCGATTTTTTTAAAAAGAACCAAATGAAAAAATGAAAAAGTGGCTCTATAGCGTGGGGTTTTGTTTTCAGCACTCTGTGAAAATTTCATACCAGAATATAAAAAAATAAAGCGTCCATTTCGAAGGGCGCAAACCTCTACGAATGGTATTTTGGACGAATTTTGTCTACTGTTTCGTGCGGCGAACCCAAGTGTTGCGGCTCAATGTACGGACTAAGAAAGGACGTATTCAGATAATTTGGTGGCTCTATTTCATATAATATCGCGTAGTTAGGTCGTTCTGCAAATAGGTATTCAGAATCACAATTGCTGATACTCCTCTATTTTAAAGCTGTTTTACTTCCCACGTCATTGGCGAGGAAGTATTGTAATCGCGAAAAATTTCTAAAATGAGAGGTTATGTTTTTTTAAGTCATATGACATATTCATCACGAAAAACTGTATCACTCATCATCAACTTGGAAATTACCGCTCGGATTTTTATGAAATTTCCACACGGAGTTACTAGTATGCCAAAGCTTTGTAGTTTTAGACCAGTAGCAACGGTGCTATAGGCAAAAAAGAAAAAGTAACAATTGCTGAAACTCCGTTTTTGACGTTTCAGGGGTTCCTAATCATTGACATAAAAAAATTGTACTGCTTAAAAAGGGGGGGTTGAAATCAGTGAAACACGTGCTATTACTAAGAAGCTTCTGATCACAGTGATTACAGGAAATTTAAGTATCGAAAATCCGACGAATAATTTGCTCACGATTTGAAAAAATCGGTACCTGCTCTATAGAGCCAACAGATCTGCAACTACCGACAGTAGGGAAGAATAAATTCGGACATCACTCCAGTCAAGTATATGAGAATTTAGCGTGGAACTTTAAAATTGATGAATTGATGAAGATGCCAACCACTCGTGTTGACGAAACGTCAAATAAAAATATTTTACGACGGCCTAACTACCCAAAAATCGATCAAATATCACGAAAAGGCGTGTCTTCGGAACACCGAAGAACGAAATCGGTGAGGTAAATATGTTGCTTCCTTAACTCCTTCAACATCATCTTACGAAGCAGTGCAAGAAAATTCATCTTCAGATTCCGAGATAGACGTACAAGAAACTTTGCCTATCCCAACGCAGAGCATACTAATCAAACTCAACCGAAGAAAAGTTTCATAATTCCAAATTAGTGGCAGCATTAGATAGGTGTCAGTTAAGTATGAGAAATGATGTGTCATTATTGAAGCAACCATTGACGCACTTGGATATAACACTGAAATATGGGCGCCCGTTGGGGGGGGGGGCCCTCCCCCTGGATTCTGCTTCAATATTCTTAATAAGAAATAAGATACCCAATCCGTGGGTAAGAAGTGGCGTGTGTGAGAACATCCCAACATACAGTATATTCAGATAAGAGATAGACCGGATGTAAACAAAAGGTTCGGGTGATTTTCACGCTAACGCCGCCGTCTCGACGTAAAACAGGAGCCCTCATTGGTCAATTCGCAAGTAAATGCCTATGCCGAGCGGCAGAGCAGTCGTATCAAGGCAGAGTCACATTCAGGTTCAGACGTGTTACGTATGTCGTGTGCATCATTGCAATTTGATATTTCTTTGGACGTTTTCGTTTGTTATCTTATTAAGTTGTTGAGTTTGTCGTTGTTATTGTTATACCTTGTTATTGATTGTTATTGTTATCAACTGCTTGCGCAAAATGCCCAGTAGTACAGATACTGCCGATGAAGTTGCAAACTCCTGTAGTCCACCTAGGAAACGCTCTAAAAAAAGACACCTGAGTGCAGAAATGAAAGAGGTCATTTTGAATATATATAAGATCGAGCGCGAGGAGAACGAGGCATCAACCATCAAAGAAATTGTTGTGAAGGTTTCTCACAAAGTTGGGGTGTGTCGCGCATCAGTGTTTAATGTCTTAAGACAATACAAAAAAAATCACACCTTTTCTGAGCCAATGACCAGTAAACATCGCAAAAGTACTGTTAAATCATTGGATGAAGCTGATAAGCATGCGATTAGGAGGAAAGTGCATGAATTATTCTTTAGGAATGAAATACCTACTATAGATAAAGTACTGCAGGAGGTAAATGGAGGTACAACGTTGCCAAATTTCAAACGATCAACTTTCCATGCGTTACTGGAGCATTTAAATTTCAAATGGAAAAAAACGGGGTCGTAATAGTTTACTACTGGATAGAGAAGAAATTGTGCTATGGAGGAGGGATTATTTAACAAAAATTGGGAAATATAGAAATCAAAACAGGAAGATTTATTACCTTGATGAAACGTGGGTAAACGCAGGACACACTACAAGTAAAGTATGGGTTGATGATTCTGTAACTTCATCCAGGAGGGCCTTTCTAGATGGACTGTCCACCGGATTAAAAAATCCAGCAGGTAAATACGAGTAATAGACAACAATCGGATGTTTTTCAAACCTTGGGAACAAGGTTCTAAACATTAATTCCAGGGGGCAGATAAAACATATTACAAGTAACAAAACTTTTACAACTTTCGATAAAATGCGTGGATGTTTTATTGTCATTTTCATTTGTTAGAACTTTTTTAAGCCATGTTTTTATGTGTTTTCGATATTTCAATAATTTTTTAATATAATCTTAAAATATGTCGAATATTATAAACTTCAAAAAAGTTACTAAGTTTTATATTGTGTACCATTCCTAATATTTCTAATCAGTTTAATTCATACTTTAAGCTTTATAAAGTTATAATTTGTTAATATTAATATTTGCGCGTATTTCAGGTTCCTGATCATTCATTTTTTAAAGGTTTATAACTTTAAATTAAATTGTGAAGCGCTGAGTAATCATACGACGTTCAATATTCTTTCTTTCAATATGACTAAATAATCCCAATTATAGCAATCTGATACTCATGTCTCAATGTTTTTTCGCTGAAATGAAAACATTTGAAAAAGGTTCGCTTATTGAAATAAATCTACACCAGTTAGTACTTCGATTTCCAGGTAAAGGGAAAAGGCTCATTATCTGCCATATTGGCAGTGAGGATGGATTTGTTGTTAACGGTCTGTGGTGCTTTGAGTCTAAGAAAACTGGAGATTACCACGAGGAAATGAATGGCGAATCGTTTGAACAGTGGGTTTCAAAAATGTTACCGAACTTAGAGGAAAACGCAGTAATTGTGTTGGATAATGCGCCTTATCATTCTCGAAGAATGGAGAAGGTCCCAACAACGGCTTCAAGGAAAGTTGATGTTCAAAATTTTCTCCGCTCGAAAAATATCAACTTTGAAAAAGCAATGCTGAAAGTACAATTATTAAGAATTGTCAAGGATCACAAGGCGGAATATCAAAAATACGCCATTGACGAAATGGCAGCAAGTCAAAATAAAACTGTGCCCCGTTTACCTCCATACCATTGCGAGCTCAATCCCATTGAGCTCATATGGGCAGAGGTTAAAAATTATATAGCTAAGCACAATACAACTTTTAAATTTTGTGACCTCAAAGGACTTTTCAAAGAAGCACTAGAATTAATAACAGCGCAAAAATGGGAAAACTGTATTAAGCACGTGAAAGACAAAGTTGAAAAGAGAATGTGGGAACTGGATAATATTTTAGAGGAACAAGTCGAGCCATTCATTATTGACGTTGGTGCTTCAGGCAGTAGCGATGATGAAAGCTCATCAAGCTCATCTTTCCAATAAAAGATGTCGTTCATCAAATTCTGTAAGTTATAAGTAATTATAAAGCTACTGTATTTTGAATTAATTATTGACATTTTTGAACCCATTTTGGCAAAACCTATTCAAGAATCTACTTTCTGACAATGTTCAACCATGCACATTTTTTTACGTTTTGAACGTTTTAATTTGGTTACATATTTACCTAGAAATCAAAAAATATACTAATCAATATTCTAAAAGCAATTTTGAGAGATATACGTTTATTTTTAATTTAGGATAATTTAAACGCCATTTTGAGATTATATTCGACTGTATTTCACCAAACATCAGGCGGCATCCGAAGCTGGAAATCGAAGCGAGAATTTTGAAACCCTTATGTATATTTACATCATTATATATTTCTTACCCCACCCCCACATGATCCTATATCCATCACCAATCGTATACACATCGAATTGTGCTAATTTACTACAAAGTTACGCAAAGCAGCATCTACTATCTAAAATATGTACTGCGTGACTCTTAATACGTCCCTGCCGAATGTTACAGCGTTCGATGATCACGTGGTATTAGTTTTGCTACTATTTTGAATACTTGCACTCCCCCCCCCCCGGTCTTCAATTGTCACCAACGGGTTGGCTAGTTCTCAGCATTTTTGATCCTGTAGAACCTGTAAACCAAAACCAAACATGCTCCCCCTGGATTTTGATATATGAGCGGTCATGCACTGACGAGTTTCCACAGAATTCGTACCGAAAAGCGAAAGGAGCCCGCAGAAGCTATAAAGCTTAATTTCCGAAGCGAGCTACCGGATACTGTAACTGTCCACTGGGATGGCAAATTGTCGCCAACTTTAAATGCTCGCAAGTCTAAAGAAGGACTACCGATTATTATAACGCAAACAGAGACTCAGAGAGTTTGTAATGCTATTTTTGATTGGAATCTTGAAGATAAAGTTAAGATTCTCAGGTGTGATACTATTGCTCCAAATAAGAGTTGCATTAACGGTGCCTGCGTGCTAATCGAACAGAAACTTAATAAAGAAATGCTTATTTTTGATTGCCGCCATCACGTCTACGAATATTTCAAAGACTGACAAGTTACTAAAATTTTGTCGACATGGATTGACCAAAGAAGTTGCTAGATACGACTATCGAGAATTAATAGAACTTCCAATAATATTTCGTGGCGGAGATACAGAGAAAAAAATTTAAGATTCGACCGCCAGACGCCATGCATCAAGCTCGATGGATGGCCAGAGCAATCTTTTCCTTGAAAATAGCGTTACTAAGTTCCCAGCTCAAACTTTCTAATAAGGATAAGGATATCTGTTAGATATTTACCTGTTCATCGTGACAACATACGGAAACTGTGATTGCAATGCACCTCAGCGGTAAAAGCACCTAACCAGGATATAAGACAATGAAGGCTTACGAAATAATTGACAAAACCATTTCAAAAGCAGCTTCACAAAAGTTTTGCCAACAGTTATGGTATTTGACAGATGAGGTCTCTGTCTTATCTCTGTTTGACGACGACGTAGATGAGGAAACTAGAGTACTAATTGTTGCTAATTTAGCCAAAGAAACTCCATCAGCCCACGGTAAACTCTATATCCCACCGAAAGAAGAAGTTTCTGGCCCAGTTTATGGTTTAAGTTTGACGAATAAATTTTCCTTTGCCTTCTACTGCTTTGATATAATATGCTAACTGTTAAAATATTCCAGCATAAACTGGGATTCTGGTAATAGATGGCACTCTATACGGTCTTGTTTCGATGGGTTTTATACCTCAGATAGGGGTTAGTTGCTATGCTTCGTTCGTTGTCCTGACCTGAGGCCAATCCCAGACGATGCTGATGAGTTGCCAAAACGCACAAAATATCTGACCATGGTTGACTGTCTGTGGTCGGAAGAAAAAAGCAGTATGTTTAGATGGTAACGATTCTTCGTTTTTTCACAGAAATACCCATGATATGGTTTCAATCAAAAGCAAGTCCTTGTTCAGTCGACTTAGAATCGATGACTGTTTTTTCGAATTGTGTCCAACTTGGCCATATACTGATTCTTTTCAATATGCTAGAATAGGGTGCAAACACCTAGAGCAGTCAACGACACGGCAGAGAGAGCAGACAAGTTAATGCAAGACCACAGCAAGACATTCATGGCTTAATCAATGCTGATGAGGAATAAAAACAAAATTTATTCCGTTGCGTACAAAGACACGGTCAGGTATATCCTGAGAGTAAAAAGCAAACTTTGAAAGGAACATTTAGTAAATAATGTTTCTTTAATGATAAACATCTAAGAAATATAAGATACAAATGAAGCAGTGTTTTATTTGTCGATTAAAAATTACGTTTTGAAATCCACACATGTTTTCCCAATTAACTTAAATGCAAAGTTTGACCGAAAGTATCGTTTCCCGATCGCAATAATATTTTTTGATTTGTTAGAGTCAAATGGAAAAAATAGGGGGTATGCGTATGTATCTCAAGTCTAATGGCCATACCTTTGTAAGACTTCTAGTACATTATAGAAGTTGCCGAAATTATGGTTTGAAGTGTTACTACCTGTTAAGCACATTTTTTTAAATTTAAATATTTAAGGAAATCTTATAAAGATAAACTATAGTTTTCCTTCATACCGTCATACCGAGTGCGACATGTACATATTTATATAAAAAATCTCCTTGATTGATGCGAATCTCATTTTAAAATTTATAGTGTATTTTAAAAGCACTTTAGACTATATAATTTCGAATTTAAGTTTTTTACCAATAAGTATAGAAAATGTCCCAATATAATTCTTTTGTGTTTGAAAAATATTTTTGAAGAAATCCCAATTCCAGGTAAGGCCATTCTTTTGAAGCCCCGTAACTTAGCAAACAAACGTGCTACGAAAAAAATCATGTTTCATACCTACTAGATCCACAAACAGGCTCTATATGAGCGAATTTTGGCACATCACTTTATCTTGGTGTCCGTTTCACGTGGCACTTGAAACAACAACAGTTGCTGTGAAAATAAATAATAATAACATGTCTTTATTCGATTCTTCTACAAATAAAGTCTCATTTTGCGTACTAAAATTAAAAATCAAAGAATCGAAATGCCGAAGTGTTTGCACCATAAATTGAAATTCCTACATTTCTATTTGAATTTATATGGGTAAACAATTTTTAGGTCATTGCTGAGATCGAGTCCAACCCTGAAGCTGCAGTGTTCGCTGATGAGTACAATAAGTTATTTGAAGCTTTCTTCAACGCATACAATAAACAAAAAGAGCTGGATGAAGAAACTAAACAATTGCATGAACAAATCGTAGAGAAGGATAAGAAAATTTCATTGGGTACCATAAATAACTTTTGTTAATGGGATATTTTTAAATTGTTTATGTTTTTAATATAAACTAAGATTAATGGATTAAGTAAGTTAGTAATGAGTTTAATAGATTTCTTTTGTTATTTAAGCGGTGAACTTAGCAGATGAAGACAAAAAAACAATAGATAGTCTAAAGAGTCAAATCACTCATGCTTGGAAACTGGCTGACGCTGCACATTCCAGAGAACAAGTGGCTCAGGAGATCATCGACAATCTCAGAAGACAAGTGGAGAATTTAAACGCAGAGATCGACTTCAGGAATAAGTTGAACCAAGACACTGAAGAGTATGCGCCCAAATATGATCTTTTTGTCATTTTTGCTTTTTGCACCAGATATATTCTCATCGGTATTCTAAAACTGGAATCTTGCTATAAGAGGAAATAGGCGGTACTGTTGAAGAGTCATCTAATACCATTATTTTCCCATCCAAACCGGGTGTGATTTAGGTTATGAGATCAGTACTTTTCCAGGGTAATCGAGATGACTTCCGTGCAGAGATCAAATTATTTATGGATGGTTTGAGAATTGACTTTTCACGATTCACGATTATTGGTTTAGTTTTGCGCGAAATTTTTAGAATAGACTGTAGACCAAAAAGTTTGTAATTTTCAATTGTACAGACCTTGACGGAAATGTCCAATATCCAACATTGTGATATCGATTAAAACAACGTAGTAAGTAACCAAAGTATGCTTTAACAGCAGGTGGTATTTACTTTGCAATGTTACTTTACACTTTTATCAGTTATTATTATTATTAAAACAGTAACTTTTAAGTACTTTACATACCCTCATTTGAATATTAGGTGCCAAAACTGGACCCTTGGTAAACACATGTTGATCTTATTATTCCAGAATACAGAATACGACTTGTTATTTCAGAAAAAAACTATGAAATAAAGTGAATTTGCGGTATAATACTATTTCTTTGCTACAGCATTGCGAGTAGGTACTGCCCTGACACGTTTTGTTTGTAATTATTACTGCTTGGAGTTGTCGCTGCTCGTTTCAAAAATGCGAGTTGGTTCACTTCTTCCCAGCTTTGCAGCATTTGGGGCTGACTAGTTCTTCTACTGTGCCCACTCAGACGGTTTTTCCACGATATAAATAAACCTACGCAGCTCTGATGGAAATATTGAGGACGACGGCGATACTTGAATACACTCGTAGCTCGTGGAGTATCAATAGGATCTGGAAGACGCTCTCAGTAAACCAGCGTCAAATAGAAAACATAAATATCTTTTAATAGTTTTCCCATTACTCATGTTGAACTTAAAAAGGGGTGCCAAAAGTTAGTGAACTTGTTTGTTCTATACAATTAGATTCAAACATCTGATTGAACCAACTAAATGAAAAAGGCGCAAAAAACCTATAAATATGAAGAATTACTTAAAAATATTTGGTAATAATAATGACAATTACAGCAACTGCCCAAACACTTTTTCCACTATCAAAACACAGTGGTGGAAATAAGTAACATGAGTAACGCGAGCTGCACATGCGCTTTACAACTGCGTGGTAGATACCCTAAGCTACTATTTACACTTGGTAATAATGCAGTTTCCGATAACGCAAAACCAATTTACTCTATACCTTTTAGACTTTAATTTTGTAGAATGGGTGAGCTTAGCAAGCACAAAGACGGCTTGGAGAGAGAAAGAGACAGACTGATCAACGAAGTAACCCAACTGAACACGAAGTTGCACAACGCTCTGAGTTATCAAGAAGAACTGGAGAGGAAAACGTCTGAAGCTGATCTCAAGATAAACGAGATTAACGGACAGTTAGAGGTATAAAAAATGATGAATTCGAAATAATGAGTCAAGTACAACGCCAAAATTACCCATCGCCGTTTTCAATACGTGGGTAAGGTGAAAAGTTCTCTGCTCTACGATGAAACATTGCGATGTTCACATTTTTGTGCATAATCTGTATAGCTATCTATCTATCTTCATATTTCATTAAAAAATAGCTTGTTTAGGATTTCTTCAGACAACCTGAACCAAGACCTTTTTTAACATGTTTTATTTAATAAAATGTAGGTACTTTTTAATGATCAATTTCACTAAAATAAAAACACGATTTTTCAGGATCAAGTAGCTGAAACTCAAAGGCAGAAGAAAGCCAAAGAGAAACTAGAACAAGACGTAGAGGAATTGAAAGCAAAAATTGAAGAAAAAGAGTCAAAAATCGTGGAACTTCACGGCGTTATTGCTCAAAACGCTAAAGCGATAGCTAGGTATATACAGGGTCCGTCAGAAAGAACGTATGTTTTTCAAATGAGTCTTACAGTCAAAATAAGTATGCGAAAATATTTTATTATATCAAAATACTCAGAAATACATGCCATTTTTTGATTAAACCAAAATTTACGTTCTAAAAACTATGCCGGCCATATGGCGCCCTTGAGCCGAAATGCAGGAATCAAGCCTCTCCCGAAATTTGGGTTACTTCTCTTCTTATTTTCTCCTTAAAATGGACGAGGGTCCGAGGCTTGCTTTGGTAAACTTTTGATTTCAGGTAGCCCGATAAAAAAAATCACACGTTGACAGGTCCGGGGAGCGAGGGGGCCATGGAATATCGCCATGACGTAAAATGAAGCGTCCTGGGAATTTTTGCCGGAGAAGTTCCATCGAAGTTCAAGCTGTGTGAGATGTTGCCTCGTCTTGTTGGATACCACACAGTAGTCGTATCTCAATCATCCTCAAAAAAATAAGGGCCAATAATCATCGTTGGGCCTACTGCACACCAAACTGTAACTTTCGGGGTATGCAGGGAGTGCTCATGCAACTGTTGGGGGTTCACTGGAGACTAATATCGACGATTTTGTTTATTGATGTATCCATGTAAATGAAAATGTGCTTCATCACTCATAAACAACGTCATGTCATTGTTATCCAACTGTTCAATCATGAGCTGTGCAAAATTAACACGTTGTGAATAATCTCCTGGCAACAGTTGTGGACAAACTTGGATTTTGTAAGGATGGAACACTAAATCCTTCTTCAAAATGCGACGTACAGTGGACGCGTGGATCCCTAGGGAACTGGCACGCAAACGGAGGGAACGATTTGGGCTTTGCAGCATGTCAACTCTCACTCTGTCTACGTTTTCGGGGGTTCTAACAGTACGGTTTCGCCCTGGCGGTTTCTTTTTCATCACATTACGTGTTGTGTTAAATGCTTCCACCCTTCTCAAAATGGTGTTACGATCTGGTACTGTCCCACGACGTGGAACGCGAAAGTGAACGCGAAACTCACGTTGCGTTCAAGCTACAGACTCGCCATTTTGAAAGTACCGACGTACAGTCAATACACGATGCTCTCACGTTGCGTTCAAACTACAGACTCGCCATTTTGAAAGTACCGACGTACAGTCAATACACGATGCTCAACGTTCCAAACCATCTTGCCAACTGAAACGGTACTTCTCCCACTATCCAACACGCCCTTCCCCACCGACACGGGACCAGCCCACTCGATGTAGTACTCATTCGAAAAACATGCGTTCTTTCTGACGGACCCTGTAGAAGCTATAAGCTTTAGCAGTATACGACATTCTAGTTTTTCATAACGCTACTGCTTACCGCATTTCTACATGATGGATAGCGTCGTCTTCATGTCAATAGTACTTCTTCATTCATGTACAAGATTGTTCTTAGTGTAATTTCTGTCTATAGATCTGAGCAAGATGCCAAAGAAACGAAATACGCTTACGATAAGTTGAGCAAAGAATTTGAGGCGACAGCACTAAAATTTAGCAGATTACAAGACGATCACAACCAGACTATGTTTGACTTGGACAAGTCTAAGAAAGTCATTCAAGATAAAATGTTAGATGCTAAGGTAAACTAGTATCTAAATAATGAAAAATGTGGTTTCGCCCCAACTGGAACTGATTTTGATATGACTTGAATATAGTCACAACTCATTTGAACATTTTTCAGATCATCGGAGAAGAGGCGATACGTCTGAAACTGGACGTATCTAAGCTGTCGAAAACCAGAGAACTTTTGGAGAAGAAAATTCTAGCGATGAATACTGAAAAAGACGAGTTGAACTCGGATAGAACTAAGCTGCGCCAGCGGATCTATATGCTGGAAAAGGAAATGGATGATTTCAAGAAGTACATCGACGAAGACAAGCGACATATTGAGGTAAAATAACTTTCAAGTTTCTCAATCTCCTTTCTCAAATATCTCAACATTCTCATCTGTCTATTTGTTCACCTTTTTTTGATTTTCTCAACTTTCTGAGCTTTCTCAACTTCGTTATCTTTCTCAGCTTTCTCAACGTTCTCAACTTCCTCACCTTTATCAAATTTCAAAATACTCTCAACTTTCTGGTTTTATTCATTTTTTTGATTTTCTCATCTTTCTCTTTTTCAACGTCCATGTCTTTCGCAACTTTCTCAACTCTTTAGATTTTGCCAACTTACTCAACCTTCTAAACTTTCTTTACTGTCTTAACTTTCTCGGTTACTCCACTTCTCAACTGCCTCAACTATCTCGGTTACTTTTCTAAAATTTTTAACTTTCTCAACTTGCTCAACATTTCTAACTCTCCCAGCCTATTTAATTTTCAAATTTCTCAACTAACTTGACTTTTTCAATTTCCACAACATTCTCTCCCTTCTTTATTCTCTCGAGATTTTCAACTGTCTCTGATTTCTCAATATCCTCGTATTTCTCAGCATTCTCAGCCTTCTAGATATTCTTAGCTTTTTCGGCTTATTTAATTTCCTATTTTTACTACAATTTTTCAACATACTCAACTTTTTCGACTTACTCAACATTCTTAGCGTTATTAACTATCACGACATCTTCAACTCTCTTAACTTCCTCAACTTTCTCGTTTTATCGAACTTTTTTACTTGTCCGGCTTTCTCGGCTTTCCCAATTTTCTAAGCCTTTTCAACTTTTTGAGCCTTCTTAATACTCACAATTTTCTTCATTTTCTCAGCTGTTTCATCTTCCTCAACTTTGTCCGCTGTCTTAGCTTTCTTGGTTACTTAACTTTTTCGAGATTCCCGACTTTCACAACATTCTTAACTTCTTTCGTCTCCACTTTCTCAACTTTCTCGTGAAACTCATTTTTTTCGCTTGCCTCATCATTCTCACCTTCATCGTTTTCCATATTGTCAACACTATCTTGGTCCCTTAGCTTTTTTGACATTTGTCAATTTTCCCAACATTCTATGATTTCTCAATTTTCTTAAATTATTCAGCTTACTCAACTTTTTTGATATTCTCATTTTCAACATTCTTAACTGTCCCAACTCTCAATATTGCCGTATTTCTTAACATTCTCAACTTTCTTAGCATACTCAATATTCTGGATATTCTGAAATTTCTTAACTTTCCCAACCTTCTCAACATTCGAAGCCTTCAGAATATCATCTTTCTACTTCCTATGCCGAAACTGGCGAGGAAGTATTGTAATCGCGAAAAATTTCGAAATTACGATATTATGTTTCTTAGATTTTATATGACATGTACAACATGAAAAACCATGTCACTTATTTCCGTCAGTCTGTCTGTCTCTCAATCGGTATGTCCGCTGATCTTATAACCCCCTATAACTTGAGAAGTACCGCTCGAATTTTGATGAAATTTTCGCATAAGATTACTACTATGCCTAAGATGAAAAAGCTTTGTAGTTTTTGAAAACCAATCCAGCGGCGGCGGAGGGTGAAGCAAAAAATGAAAAAAACATCGGTAAAACTTCGTTTTTGTCGCTCCTGATCATTTTCGGATATTTTCTCTTAGGTATTGAAACTTGGAGGTTGGGGGTTAGAGGGGGTTGTAAATGTTACATCTTTAGTATTAGTCAAAGACGATCTACCATTAAGAAGCTTCTGATCTGCCGGCTGTGCAATGTGTAACAAACTGCAACATGTTAATCTGCGGAGATGTCGTTACCTCTACCGGAGACTATTTAATTATACAGGGTGTAAACGTTATGGTAGTCATTATTGAAATGGGTAATAGGGGGGGGGTCAAAACAAGTCAAAAAGTTCATATGACCTATGGTCCAAAAGATTTTTGTCTAAATGGCTTTATAGTTGACAACTTTAAGTGCTTTATATCGACCACAATCACCACAATCTTACTAATTTTTATAATCTAATCTAAAACGTTTTTAAATGGGGTAATTAACAAATAAATGGCATTAAGTTTTTCTAAGTTAAGCCAAAATTTGAAGTCAGTAAGTAAGTAAGTTTCATTAAATTGAATATTTAAAACACACATGACAACAGCGCGTCGGTCATCATCACTCTTATCGAACCAGCAATCGATCGCAAACGGTAACAGTGGTTAGTATGTTGTTTTGTTTTTGATCGCGTACGTCGTCGTCTTGATTTACAATGTTCTCGAATCAAGAGTTCGCCGACATGTTAGTTTACGGTTAAGCTCGTCAGAATTCAAATCTTTCAGCTCAAATTTATCGCGACAGATTTCGCCAACGGGTACACCAAGACAGATGGACATTTGTGCAAGTGTACCAAAGATTTTGAGATACAGGAAGTGTTCAGCCCACTAATATTCGCACTCGTGAAACACAGGTTACTGTAGAGCAGGAGGAACAAATTTTAAATATCGTGGAAATTAATGCAGATATCAGCACTCGGGAATTAGGCCGCCGCGTAGGACTGTCGCATACCAAAGTCCATAGAATCCTACGGAAAAATTTGCTTTATCCCTACCATGTACAGCGAGTGCAGGCCTTGTTACCAGAAGACTATCCTAACATTCTGTCAATGGTTTTTGCTGAAAAACATTGAAAATCTGGATTTTTTTTAAACCATTCAAGCGACGAATGTACTTTTACGCGAGACGGGATATTAAATTTCCATAATACTCACACGTGGGGCCAAGAAAATCCTCGTACCATTCGTGAAAAGTGGAAAGTGGAGGACGACATTTTGAAGACCTTCTTTAAATACAAAAAAGTGCAGTGTGGGTTTTAAAAAGAAAAACAATGTATATATCAAAATTGTGTTTCCTATTTATAAGTAGATTTTTTTAATACGTTCAATAAGCTTTCACACACCAGGGAAGCGCTGAGACAGTTAGTGGTAAGTCCGTTTTTTCAATTGTTTGCATTTTACGAGTACATTATCAAATAATGATATAATACCTAAGAGCCAAAAATAACAAACTCAATCTTTGTTTACACTGCGTTTCCTCGCAATTTGCGTCTGGCATTGCGGCGTTGTCAGATTTTATTTTACTTTAAAGTCGCTTTTCTCTAAAAAAATGCCGTTTTGACCCCTATGTTATATGAAACTTTTTGCTGCTTTTAACCCCCTCTATCACCTATTTAAATAATGGCTATCATAACGTTTACACCCTGTATACTTATACTATAGCAATATTTGTATATTAGGATCACGTACCACTTTAGAGTTCAGCGATGCTTTTGTAAATGATGACTCAACTGTTTTTATTTCTACACATTTTTCTGAATTTTATGATCCTTAAGCGCAGATAACTTCAATTAACAGAACACTTGTGAACTGAAGTTCGAATATTATCGAGAGTTAAAAATACTTCCATCGTTTAGGTACTCGTAGATTTTGAAAATTGAATGAGGAAAAAAAATACAATTGCTGGAACATAGTAGAACAACGTTTCAGAGATTCCTGCTCATTGTTAGACATTGTTTGGAGCTGATGGAAATTGTATTTTGGAAGCTGTATGCGGTAAATGTTTGTAAATTGTTGCATATTTGGTGTCACCTTCTATCATTAAGAAGCTGCTTATCTCAGTGATACTCTATGCACCTGTTAGACATAATAAATCACAAATATTTTCCATATATCTGCCATGAAAACAGAAATATGATAAATTTCCTATACATACATAGCTTGATATGCAGAGGTCGAGGATTCGTCGTACCTAAGCGAACCTACCTATTCAAGATTTCGCGTTTTGGAACGACTTGACCTATCTCTTTCTTTTGAAACCTCCAACGAAGGCGTAGGAAGTACATAGTCATCTAGTTGACGCCATTTTTTTTAGGGTATGATGAAAGAAAAGGACGTACTGACCAAAAGCGTCCAGAGGATGCAAGTCCTTCAACAGGACCAAAACAAACTGATCTTTATCCAAGAACAAAGTAAGAAAAAGTTAGAAGTGGAGTTGGACTTGTATTTTATTGAAAACAACAAGCAGAAAAAGGCGATTGGGCAGTTGGAGAGAGAAAGGGATAAACTTGCGGAGGATCATATTGAGCTTACGCAGACCATTGAGGATAATATGGAGGATATTCGTCAGAAGAAGGTAAGGCAAGGAGGATCTAAGCCTAAGGTGGTTACTTCTATTCTTTCACATCCCCTTCAGACATTTTACGATTCCGGCAATTTTCAATAGGACTGAAAGTATCTTCCAAAAATATACACACTATAAGAATGATGATTATGTTTGAATGAAATTTTGGATACAGTTACAGAAATGAAAAAATAAATGAACTGTCACCTGAAAGACAGATTGTGTTTGTTTGTTTAAGATTAATTTAGCATAATTGCTACAATTACATTACATAAAAACTGCAACAAATACATATCATACAAATATTTAGAAAAACAAAACTTGGACCTCTAAGAATTTTCACTGTCCATGAAACGTTCTTTTAATTTTCTTTTAAGCATCTTCAATTTACTAGTGAACTTTATATCATTATTTAGTTTATTGAATTCCAAGTAATCTTTTATGAAATATTGATTTGCTAGCTATATTACTAATGAAATTTTGTAACTGGAATCTATACAGGGTGATTCACAAATCGCGACCAAAAATGTATGTAACATTTTTTCCTCAAGAGCTTCATTAAAAAGATACGGGGTGTTGAAGTTCAAAAATTAAAACATTTTTTTTAGTATCTTCAAAACCGTCAACTGGAATGAACTAAAATTTGGTATGTGGATTTACCTAAGTATTGTTACTTAAAATTAACGTGCACCAGTGGCGGAGATACAGGTTATTAGTGGCATTGTTTTTCCAAATAAAAATAGTACCCCATGGTGATGGATCCCTCGAGTACTAAGAATTCGGGACATACTCACTCGACTCTCTCTGAGAGAATAACATCGATGGTAAAATTTGTTTCACGAAAATCTGCGGAACTAACAGCAACCGAACATCTGTGGGATTAACAGCAACATTGATGCTGTTCATCACTACCTGCAATCTGCATATCGCCATGCTTTTCTTCGAGGAGACAAAAATCTCAAAGTCTGCACCGACTAATCATCTTGACTTCCCAAATTCCGAGGTGCACTCCAATTTGAGAAAGAACGGCGGAGCTGTGAGTTTTGTCCGCAGTAGCCTTTTCTGCTGCAGATACGTTTGTTTAGAATCAGACTGGAAGGACATTCTGTGGCTTTGCCCCGACTCTAATACCACCGCCAAATTTATTTGCTGCCTTTATCGCTCTCCCTCGAACGATAACTGGGATGGCACACTTGAATACCTCGCTGTTACGATCGACTTCCTGAACATCAATCACCCCGCTTCAGAGGTAGTTCTCCTCGGTGATTGCAATGAGCTTTGGTTGGGCTCAAACAAGACTGATGCAGCGGGCCGTGGAGTTGAAGCGTTCGCTATTACCCAAGACCTGACCCAGATGGTAACGGGTCCTACTTTTGTCCTCGCGTTTCATTATACGCCAGTAGCCTGTTGAATCCCTTTCTGACCACGCATCCTGTCCCTTACAGCACTGCTGTTCTGTCGCCCCTGGGTAACTCAGACCACTGTGTTGTGGATGCTAGGTTTTGGTAGGAACTCCCTGTAGCAGCAGAAACTCGCCCAGGCCGCAAAATTTGGCATTACGGAGGGGCTCAGAGACTCTTCTTCACCTTTCGTTAGAGAGATGTTTGGTCGCTGACGCGGATGCGTCGGCTGCCTCCTTATCGATAAGCGAAATTATCCACGTCGAAATGAAGGAATACATCCCTCATACAGTGAAAGTGCCTAAACCACGGTCCATCGATTGGTTCAGTACATCGTGCGACGCTGCTTGTCAGCAGAACATCAGAGCACACAGAACCTTCTTACATAACCCCACTGTAGAGGACAGACAAGCCGACGTTGAGCCCAGGAAAAAATACAAAGAAGCGGTCCACAATGCCAAAGGCCAACAAGATATAAAAGTTAGGCACAGGGTAATTCGCAGCCCAATGGCAGTCAGTCTTTTTGAACACTGGTCAAGTAGACTGAAATGAACTTCTCACAGAGTAGCCTTCCACCAATTACTTGTGAGGATGGAACGATTGTATCTGATTCAAAGGCTAAGGAGGAAGCGCTTGCCAAGGTTTTTGCTGCCAACTCCACCATTGACGTCCTTCCCAACGCCCCAGTGCCGTTGATTCAAATGGTTCCCTACACTTTGCGGGAAGTAACATGCAATCATAAGACTGTAAAGACGGGTGCTCTTGTCGCTGTCGCTCGACATCGACACAGCTTCTGGACCGGACTTGATTCCGGCCATTGTACTGAAGAGGTGTGCAACGGAGCTTGATCCATTTTTTTCGCAATACCTTTGTATACATATATCTTACGAATCCGGCATCTTACCAGAAAACTGGAAATTTGCTACTGTCCAACCCATCCCAAAAAACTCTGCCTTCTGTTATAAGTATGGTGATGGAGACGCGCATATACCGCAAGCTTCTGGACTACCTCGAACGTCACGGCTTGATTAGGGACAGGCATTATGGCTTACGGCACCAGTTATCCACAGGGGACCGCCCATACAATCATATACAGTCTTACGGCGAGGCTCATGTCGTTGCTCTTGATAACATCACGGAAACGTTCGATCAGCTATGCACGCTGCCCTCTTATGCAAACTTCAATCCTATGGCCTCCCAGCGAAGCTTTGCAGAGGCGTGGCTGACTTTCTCTCTGGCCGCAAGATATCTGTCGTAATTGACGGGTTTTCCTCCTGTCCCCACAACGTTAACGCACCTGGGATCGGTCTTGGCTCCGACACTGTTCCTGTTACATATTAACGATCTCCTTTCCTGAACGATCAACTCAATCCACAGATTTGCTGATGACAGCACTCTACATGCAGGAATTCTACCACCACACCAACGGGTTTTGCTGCTCAAAGCTCTTCTCAATAATGCTACCGTGCGATATGCCTGCCAGACAGACCCGCCTTACTTCGGCCGCGCATCGTAACCGTGTCGAGATTCGTACATCCAGAACTGATCGATACGACCGCTCCATTGTCCCGAGGGTATCGAGATTGTGGAACAATCTACAAGAGGAAGCTTTTCTAAGTTCTACTAACCAGTTCAAAAATCGGATTAACAAATGGGATCCTCATACCAGCTGCGGTGTCCTGACGTTTAATCTTCTGCCTGCGCGGCTGCTTCGGTATTAAAAATTGGTCAAAGTAAAACAGTTTCTTCAATGCAATGTTAGTGCAACATAGTAAAAAACGTCCATCTAGGCAAATTTCATAGAAATAGTATACACAAATTCTTATTTTTGCCTCACAGGTGATGATATTCGACTTGAAAAAAACGACATCCGAACTAGAAAACAAAGTCAGACAGCAACAGAACTTATATGAAGCTATGAGATCCGATAGAAACTCTCTGCAAAAATTACTTCAAGAATCTACTGCAGAAACTGGAGAGTTGAAAAAGAAACTGAAGATACTATTTCATCATATTGAACAACTGAAAGAAGATATCGGCCAGAAGGAAAAACAGTTGATCAAAGATGAGAACGTCATGAGAAAGCTAAATAAGGAAAAAGATAATTTGAAGTAATCATTACTGAATTTTCATAGCAGTTATCTTTAGATCTCCAGAATCCACATATTACTGAATTCTCTTTATGGAAAGTTTCCGAAGTCGTAGCGTAGCGTAGCGTTTTGGTGATCGTGAATTTTTGAAATTTTGGAATTCAAAATTCTTCCAAAGTTTTGGGGACTTTGGTAATTTAATTTTTTGAGAAATTCTAGAATTTGAAACTTATTTTAATTCTGAGAATTTACGATATTTTGGGAATTGAAGAAGTCATGAAACTTGTTTTTCGAGAAATCCTTGATTTTCATTAACATTATTGTAGTTTTGACAATTAGCGGAATTTTGGGTAGTTTGTGAATTTCGGGGGTATTGGCAATTTCGATGATTTTAAAAATTTTCAAAAGTTTGTTAATTTTGGTGAATTGAGAGTTTTTAAAATTTCAGAATTCAAGGTTTCGGGGAATTCTGGAACTTTGGGAGAGTCAAATTCTTTCAGAGTTCTGATAATTTTAAGTTTTAGAGGTCACGGTAATTTTGGGTGTTATTAAAATTTTGGGAATTTCTGGAAATTTGAGATTTTTGGGAAATTTAATAAAATTGGGAATTAGGATTGCATTGGAAAGCTTATTTGAAATTTTAGGAAATATGTGAATTTTTTGAGTTGGTGTTATTTTGGGTACTTTGGTAACTCTGGAAATTGTGGGGTTTTTGTAATTGTGAATTGTGGCAAAGATCAGAATTTTTTCCGAATATTATAATAATTGTGACTCATCTATTTACAAATTAACAAATCAAGTGTTTAAGGATTGAAGTTATGAGCCGTATTGACCAAATCAGGACTTTAAAAGAGGAGCTGAAAGAAAAAAGAGATGAAGAAAGAAGATTACACAAGTGTTTGATAGTAACACAGTTCTTACAAAATGTAGCATATATCTACGAATATATTTTTTTAGGAAAATGACAGAACGATAAGGCAACAGGCTAAAGATCTGGAACAGATAATGAATGAAAGAGATGTGATTGGATCACAGCTGGTTAGAAGGAATGATGAGATAGCTTTGCTTAATGAGAAGATTCGAATTCTGCAAGCCACTCTGGCTAGAGGTAAGGTAGCCTTGAGGGAGTGTTTCAACCCGTTAAACGCAATGGCGATCCCATGGGGCCGCTTGACAACGGGCCTATATCCATATGGACCGCTTTGTATTTAATTTATTTCCACTGTGAGTCCATTTAAATTCATTTTAGCGTTAGATATGGACCGCTGTGGCTTGTATGGATTATTCCCATACGAAAACTTTCTGGTGTATTTTTGTTTCAAATAGGGTTATTAATTTTTTTTACTCACATCATTTATTTCCTACTATATCCACACAACAACTTTGACAAAAACAAACAAGATTCCAGTGAAAATGCATATATACAGTGTGTTCCTTAATGATATGCGAATATTTAAGGGTATGAATCTACATGAAAAATTAATGTTAGTATGCTTTATAAACTATGGCCCAAAAATGTTTCCTTACAAAATCTCGGGGTGTTGAAGTTTTAGGAAAAAAATGGAAATTAATGCATATTTTCAGAACCGCTTCAGATATGTCACTGATATTTAGTACGTAGTGAAAGTTGCATATTTTTCAATGCAAAAATATGTTTAGCTTTAACAGTGTGTACGGGTATTGACTTCGATATTTGCCAAGAAAAACATGGTACGCCAATAGTTGTTTGCCAAATAAAAACTATTTTTGAATTCCCCGTTCAATTTAAAACAAATTATATCTATTGAATCGTTTTCCTTCGATGCGCCGTTTCTGAGTAATAAAATAAAAACCGTTCTATTGTCTAACTTGCAAAATTATTATTAATTTAATCGGGAAAATTAAACACATTAGGGGTAATGAACAACAACAACTGATAACATAAACATAACATTAAAACCAACGGAATGATTACAAAAATTGAAAATGGCCCCCCTTAACTTAGTATGCATGCTTCCGCCCTCCTTCTCATGGAATTGCTCACTCGTTGAAATATCCCTGGAGTGTTTTTTATTCTATCACAACCAGCAACTATTCTTTCTTTTAATTTACCTACAGTGTTAATGGGATTTGTGTACACCAGTGTCTTAAGATAGCCCCACAAAAAGAAATCTAAACTGATGATGTCTGGGGACCTTGGTGGCCATTCTTGGGGCCCACCGCGGCCAATCCAACGATTTAGATAAACAGTTTGTAAATAATTACGAACCGATACACTGAAATGCGCTGATGCACCATCATGCATGTACCACATATTGTTTCTTATTACTAACGGAGCATCAACAAGCAGCAAAGGCAACTGATGTTGAAGAAAATTGAGGTAAGTCTGTCCGTCAAGTCGTCCCGGCAAGAAGAATGGGCCAATAATGTGGTTGCCAATAACTCCTGCCCATACGTTAACCGAAAATTGATGTTGGAAATGGGTTTCGGTTACGGCATATGGATTTTCTTCTGCCCACAAATGATTATTGTGGAAATTCTGAATGGCATTTCGAGAAAAATTAGCTTCGTCCGTGAACAGAATCATTGATTCAAATTGCGGATTTTGTGTAATTTTTTGAAGATACCACTGACAAAAGGTCACACGCCTTGGAAAATCAATGGGAAGTAATGCCTGTACTCTTAAAATATGGTAAGGATATAACAAAAAATCCACTAAAATTCTCCAAACAATTTGATGGCAAATATTTAGGTGTCTAGCGATCTTCCTCGTATTCATTTCAGGATGTTCTTCGACTTCGTGCAGCACTGCTTCCACAATTTCAGGTGTTCTCACACTTAGAGGTCAACCTTCAGATGTTCCTTTTCGGACAGAACCAGTTTCAACAAGACGACGATGAATATTAGAAAAGGTTCGACTATCTGGCAAAGTACGATCGGTATATCTCTGGTGATAAATCTGTCTGGCTTGCTCACCATTACCGTCGTCAAGGCCATATACGTAATGCATTTCCGCCATTTCAGCAGTCGAAAAATTCACCATTATTAACAAGATTGTAAAAACTAAATAATGAAAAAGATGTCACAGCGAACAGATTTGAACAACAGAGACTTGTCAGAAGTCAAAAGCCAGTGACATATTCCAGAGCAACTAGATATTTATTGCTAAATTGTATTCTTCAATTATTACATTAATTTTCTCGGACAATAGAACGGTTTTTATTTTTTACCCAAAAATAGCGCATCAAAGAAAAACAATTCAAGAGAGATCATTTGTTTTAAATTGAACGACGAATTCAAAAATAATTTTTATTTCGCAAAAAACCATTGGCGTACTATTTTTTTTTAAAATATGGAAGTCAATACTCGTACACACGCCACCGTTAAAACTAAAAATTATTTTTGCATTGAAAAATGTGCAGCTTTATTAACTTTCACTATGTACTAAATATCGGTGAAATATCTGAAGCGGTTCTGAAAATATTAATTAATTTCCATTTTTTCCTAAACCCCGAGTTTTTATAAGGAAACATTTTTGGATCATGGTTTATAAAGCAAACTAGCATTAATTTTTCATGTAGATTCACACCCTTAAATATTCGCATATCATTAAGGAACACCCTGTATAATATACATATGTTAAGTTATGATATCGGGATACAAAATATAAGATAATTTCATTTATTTATGATTTGTTCCGAAACAGTCAAGAGTGGGGATTTCCTTCACAACTGTCACAATATGTAATAACTTTTGGAGTTTTATTTTTTGGTATTTCACGCCTTATTTTTTCATTATAACATCCTTTACAGTATATATATATATATCAGTATATGTCGTTACCGTCTTGTGTCAGCTTTTGACGTAGAGGTAGATTAGACACATTATTTGTTGGAAATTTGACTATGGCCTGATGGATATTTTTCTAACATCTTGCTTGGTGCTTAACGTGTTAAGCTGCCATGATATCCCACAACATGTTTTTGAAAATGTCCGTCAGCAACTTGAACATCGCCTATATCATTGTTTGGCCAATAACGGACAACATTTTGAACACTTATTGAAATAAAAAGTGATATTTTCGTGTGTTTTTGTTTTCTACCTGAACAAATTAAGATAATTAAAGAATATTCTAATTTTCTTGAAAACGAATCGACCGATTTAAAAAAAAGAACATCAAAATAAAGGACTTCGAAAGACCTTTCAAACAGCTCACGACCACTCAATAACTCTTGTAATTTAAAAATTTTAAGGTGATGGCCCTGGGGGACAGACGGTGAAAGGACTGAAGTAGTTTTTGGTTAAAAAGTTGTCTGCATTGACAAATCTTTTGACGTGTCTTGGCGTTTTTTCTTTTAATCAGTGGTTTTCGATATATCCGTGGTGGGAAGTTTTCAAATGAACACCCTGTTTGTATTCGAATAAGAACGTTCACATCAAAGAAACGGCAAAGCAATCGGCAAAAACCACGCAACAGAGGTCGAAATCGAGGTGAAGTTGGTGATAACATTAGTTTTTACAGGTGAAACTCACTACGAGCAAAGGATCGAAGATATCAGACTATTGAAACTCGAGGTGAAACGCTTGAGGCAAGAGAAAAACCTGATGTCAAAATCGCTGTCCAACATGGTGGATCTGAAGCAGGAAATTTTCCATTTAGAGCGGGATCTGACCAAGAGCAGATTGAAATGTACTGCCTTGGAAAAGGAAGTGCAAAATCCTTTGAACATCCATAGATGGAGAAAGTTGGAAGGGTCCGATCCAGAACTACTGGATTTGTTGCAGAAGATACAGCATCTTCAAAAGTAAGATGTACCTGAAAATTCTAAAACCCATAAGCCGTATACTATGGAAAAAATCCAATGAAAAACTGGCGTTCTTATTGATTCCAGACGTCTTTTACAACAAGGTTCCGAAGCAGTGGAAAGAGAACGTCAACTGAAAACTGCAGAAAGATTGTACATCAATCTGAGACAAGTGCTAGCTAAACAACCAGGTCCGGGTATCAAGAATGAACTCTCAAAAACACAGAGGGCTTTGAAAGCAAGAGGAAACAAGTTAAAGGTAGCAATAAGTAATTTAGCTGCTTTGACATATGTGGCATAATCTAAGATATACCCAGCTTAGATGGAAAAAGCAACGGTATTGCAAAACTCTTCAATAATAGAGGAAACTAACCAATTTTATCATCATTCATTAGTTAAGGCAGCGTTTCTAGATCTGCTGGTTTGGCAAATCGGGAATCAGTGCCTCTCTTCGCGAGAAGTTCGGAGTTATTCCGAACATGTATATACGCCGCATCTCGTCAATTCTGGATTCTGGTCAGTCTCAGTCGTTCTGTCTGTGCTTAACCTATTGTGAATACCTATGTTGTAATTTGCGTGTTAATTGCAGTTCACGGTATTAAAATATACTAAGTGACATATAAATCCGAACACCCAGTTTAAATGGTTTTATTTTAATAAAAGTTGGTGAATGTATTATTTATCTTACAGTAAATAACAAGTGAAAAAATTTTCAGCCTTATCAGTTGGACATTCCGGTTTTTATACTCCTTTTTTTTAATTCACTAACGCTCTAAAAATGAATATTTCAGCCGCAGTAAAGAATCAACGTTGGCGGATTTTGGTTCTTGACATCCTTTACGATCGGTTACGATGCCTAGAGTACGGAGACCTGTACGATTTCGTCAACTTAGTGAGTTTGATAGGGGCCGTATAGTGGGACTTCGGGAAGCTGGACTTTCTTTTCGGGCAATTGCAGTTAGAGTGCAAAGAAGTGTAAACACTGTGGTTAGGTGTTGTCAGGCATGGCTTCGAGAAGGCCGTACGCAAAGAGCAAGAGGCACTGGACGCCGCCGTAGAACAACAGACCGTGAAGATCGCCGCCTAAGATAATTGGCCTTAAGGGACCGTTTCTCCACTACCAGGTCCATTGCAAATGAATGGTTTGCAGAACACGGAAGACCTATTGGCATGCGAAGTGTTTACCGACGAATGAGAAGTTTTGGCTTGTTTTCATACCGGCCACACTGGGTCCTCCCTTTAACTCGAGAACACCGACGTAATCGCCTTGAGTGGTGCAGACAACGGTCACGCTGGGATTAGGAATGGAACAGTATTGTCTTTAGTGACGAGTCTCGATTTTGTTTAGGCATGCACGATAGTCGTGCCAGGGTTAGAAGGCGACGTGGTGAAAGGAGGAATCCACAGTTTTTTGTTGAAAGACATGTTCATCACACTGTTGGAGTTATGGTTTGGGGTGCTATAGCTTATGGTTCCAGGTCACCTTTAATCTTCATCAGAGGTGACATGAACGCGCAGCGTTATATCCACGAAGTTCTAGAACCCCATCTTTTACCCTATCTTGACACCCTGGCAGATCCAACTTTCCAACAAGATAATGCCCGACCACGTGTTGCAAGAGTCACAATAGACTTCTTTCAACATAATGATGTCACATTGTTACCATGGCCACCAAGACCTCCCGACTTATCCCCAATTGAGCACGTGTGGGATATGATGGGTAGGAGATTGCTCAATTTGCAACGTCCTCCTCAGACTCTAGAAGCACTTCGAGAAGAGTTGGTGGTTGCCTGGAATGAGATACCACAGGAGGACATTGACCACCTGATCAGAAGCATGCCTAGGCGCGTTGGAGAATGCGTAGCACATCAGGGTGCATCCACACATTATTAAAGGTCAAAGGGCTTTAAAGCAGTGCAATCATTTTGAAATTTTTATCATTTACTTATTATGCTTCATTAAGTACTTATACAAAATTTTATTAAAATAAAACCATTTAAACTGGGTGTTCGGATTTATATGTCACTTAGTATATATAGATCCCCAGCAGTAAATTTTAATTTATACCAAATCATGGATACAGTTTCATATGAAATAACCAGATGTAAGAAGCCTCATACTATTGGCGAAGAGCTTATTTTGCCAGCTGCAATTGAAATTGTAGAAACTATGTTTGAAGATACTTTTGCAAAAAAATTGGAGTCCATACCTCTATCAAATGATATGGTTGCCCCTCGAATTGGTGATATAGCTGAAGATGTACAGCCTCAGCTACTCGGGAAGTTGCGAGACAAGTTGTTTTCAATTCAGCTTGATAAGGCAACGGATGGCAATAAAGATGCTCATCTTATTGCCTACGTTCGATTTTGTGATGACATATCAGTAGTAGAAGAACTACTTTTCTGCAATCTATAGAACTTAAAGCAACATCTCTCGCATTATTTGCTATCTTAAATGATTATATAATCGAGGCAAACATAGAGTGGAAGAATTGCGTCGGAATATGCACCGATGGGGCTCGTTAATGTCCGGAAGATTTGAAAGTACATATACAAGGCCTTGTAAAACAAAAATCTGCATTGTGCCTTTGGACACATTGCATGATTCACAGAGAAGCTCTGGCTTCCAAAGAAATGTCTCCTGGCCTGAATATTGTTGTAATGCGGTTGTAAAAGTAGTTAGTTACATAAAAATGAGACCTTTGAATACTAGAATCTTTTTTCCACTGTAAAGATATGGGTGCAGTACATTCAGCATTACTATTTTATTGCGAGCCAGGATGGTTTACAACGTGTTTTTGAATTAAGACATGAAATCGCGGTTTTTCTAGAAGAAAAACGGACCGCAAGCCGAGATGTTTCGAGATGGTTTATTTCTGACGAAATTGTGCTACTTGGTCGACATATTCGAGAAACTAAATATCTTGAACCTTCAGCTCCAAGAAGCAAATACACATATATTGATTACGAGTGATAAAGTTAGCGCTTTTTGTAGAAAATTGGAATTGTGGTGCAGAAATTTGAAGCAATAAAACCTGGAAATGTTTGCAAATGTAGTTGAATGTTTTAAAACTTACAAGGTTGAAAAACAACACATGAAATTTGTTTTCATAACCACTGAAAATCATTTAGCGATGCTGACAAAGAATTTAAAAAAATATTTTCTTGTCGACGACAAACTAATACAGGGTCCGCCAAAGGAACCTGATGAGTTTCAATATGAAACTACAAATGTATCTTTCAATTATTTTCATATATAAGAAATCGAAAGTGTGTTACATGCCATTTTATGTATGGAAAATAACTTCGGTTAAATGATGTCCTTCACTGCGGACACACTCTTCCAAACGGTTTCGCACATTCCCCATTACGCGCTGTACCATACTCATCGGAATCGCGCTAATTTCATTGCGAATGTTTTCCTTCAATTCTTCAATGGTCCTTGGGCTCGTTAAATATACCTTGCTTTTGAGATAACCCCATAACCAATAGTCACAAGCCGTGAGATCGGGAGACCTTGCCGGCCAAGGAACGTCTCCATTCCGCGAAATGACTCTTCCTGGAAACATTTCTCGCAGTCGAACCATTGTTGCTCATGCTGTATGCGCTGTGGCGCCATCTTGCTGAAACCATACAGTATTTAAATCTATGTTCCGTCGACGAAGCTCTGGTTCCAAAAATGTGTTTAACATTTCCAGATAACGTTGCGAATTGACCGTGACAGAATTTCCAGCATCGTCCTCAAAAAAATAGGGTCCAATTATGCCGAATCGCGACACTCCGCACCAAACAGTAACCTTGCGACTATGAAGGGGTCGCTGGTGAAGTTCTCTCGGGTTTTCTGCACACCAGTAGCGAAAATTCTGCTTATTTACGTAGCCTGATAACTCGAAATGCGCCTCATCAGACATAATTAAGCCACCTAAAGCGTTTTCATCCAAAAGTTCCAGAAGCTGGTTGCTTGCAGTCAAACGGTTCACAAAGTCTTCAGCTGTCAGTTCTTGAACCATCGCTAATTTGTAAGGGTGATAATGTAAATCCTTATGCAAAATACGCCGCACTGTTGTTTCTGAAAGCCTTAGACTAATTGCTTGTAGCCTAGCTGAACGACGTGGACTTTGCTGCATCGCTGTTCGCACCCTCTCAATATTGGCTGGAGTCCGAACTGTTCGACGCATTCCTGGTGGCTTAGCTTTCATTGCTGATGCAGATCGACGAAAATTTTTGACCCACAACTTAATTGTGTTACGGCATGGAACAGAACCATGACGTCCGACATTGAAATGTGTACGAAATAGACGCTGTGTAATGATCACCGAGTCGTGATTTTTAAAATACGTCTCGACAACGAATGCCCTATGTTCACTTGTCCACAGCTCCATGACTACTGAAATGGCATCTACTACCGATGTCTTGCCCACTGTAACCGATGTTCTACGTCAAAAAACAGCTTCGTACTATCCATTCTGAAAACGTCAGGTTCCTTTGGCGGACCCACTTAGTTACGAGAGGGTTAGGAATCCGTTTCAAGTTACTCCCGAAGGGCTCTCAACTGCCAAAGAAGAAATCTTCATAGACTTGACGGTAAACGCCGAAATCAAGAAACAGTTTAATAATAAATCCCTCTTTGAATTTTGGGCAGGAGTGAACGATGAGTTTTCGGCACTGAAAACCAGAGCGGTTCGTATACTGCTGCCATTTTCAACATCCTACCTTTGCGAAACAGAATTTTTCGGCGGTGGCTGCTTTGAAGAACAACTATGCATCGCAGCTAAATATAGAAAAAGAACCCAGAGTGTCTATTTCAAATATTAAACCTTGTTTCGACAAGCTTCGCTCGGCAAAGCAGGCCCAAGGGAGTCACTAGTAATTATTATTTTTACAATTAATATTATTAAACTTATTTTTAATTTAGTATTGATAAACACAGTCCTGTTTATGTGTACCAACTATGTCAGTGTTAATGTGTATTTTATTTTTGATTATGTCAGAATTTAGTTTTCCTTTCCTTTTAGTAAATCATTCAATGTTGTTAGTATTTTTTTCTGATATGCTCGCGCCCCCCTTTAATATTGACACGCCCCTAGAGAAGCGCGCCCCACAGGTTGAGAAACGCTGAGTTAAGGGACTAATGCATACTTGTTTCTTCACTTGAAACTACCTTATCGTGAGGATGCCTCTGCTTCTCTGCCGGTCATGCTGTCAGAAAGAGAGAGAAACAGGCTGAAGAGCGAATGTCATAGCCACATTGCCTAGCAAA